ACGATTTAAAGATAAGTAAAACATCAAAATTTCCCGTAAATTTGATTAATTTAACTTGATATTCTTAATTGCATGTGCCGAGTATTTTGTTTCATATAATATATTGTTGTTGTACAATTGTTTTTGTTTGTGCACATTGATTTTGCTCTTTTTGTCTTTTTGTCATTTCTGCTGTTTCATCTTTGTCACAGCTGTTTGCGTTGTGTTTATTAGGTGTCAAATATACAGTGCAGTTAAAACTGTTCGCTAACTGATATTTACCAGCTGATTGGTTCACTGATTAATACATCGTTTTCAAAACCGTTTTTGCTTTTTTGCTTCTAAAACCTAAAAATAAATATAATTTTAAACATGTCGTGTATTTACACCAATTGCCACGTTAAAAGCGACTCCTATGTATCATGCTGGCTCTGCGATGGGATTGCCCATATAAAATGTGCTGGTTTGAGCGGTAGAGTATTAGACGCTATTAACGAGGGTAAGGGTCTTCGTTGGTCTTGTCAAAAATGTAGATCAAGACACTTTCGACCTCTATTTTTAAAGCCATGCAAAACTAATTTTGAACTAAACGAATCATTCCGTGGTTTATGTCAAGATTTTAACTGTCATTCCAGCACGTTTGACGTATCGGACTCGATTTTTACTATAAAGAAAACTATTATTTCCACTCTCAATAATTGAAATACTATCTTTAGCATATCCAATCAGCTGATGAATTTGATTCTGTAGCTGAATAGTTTTAGATCTCGACACTTAACAAACTCCTGTTTCCACTACTCGGCACGAAAAAACTAAAACAAAAAAAAAAAGGTTCCGTACGTCATGCGGACTGCGCCCCTCGTGTCGGTTGGGCGGGAATGGAGGGTAAAAAGCCGTTGGGATTAATTAATTAATTAATTAATTAATTATTTGAACGCATAGCTCACGTTTTTCAATGGAGTTAACCCAAATTGTCCCAGATTAATTTTTTTTAGATTTTTTTGGTTTCATCTATATATAGGATAAAAGTAGCGTTAAAATAAAGGAAAAAATATGACTAAAACTTTGGGAGTAGTATAGTTCTCCCGATATCGGCCGTTGCCATATGGCAACACCTGGCAGATGGATTGTTAGAGGGCAGTATTTGGTTAAAATATGACATAATAGAAACATTGTTTATAAGTTTTAATACATTTATTGATAATATATACATTTCTACGTACAGAGCGGATGAAGAAGTTAATTTTTAGTATGAAGTAGCAAAACACTTCAAACATATACCACATCATATTTTGCACAGGCTACTCGTCCTATAGTTTTACATGCTTCACCAGCACAACGAAGTTTTTTTGTCAATTTGGGTGGGTCAGTGGTTTAGTCCCAAGTGTAGAAACCCCCGAGGCTAGGTAGCATCGAGGTGTCAATTAAAGACCACACAAAGTATTTGGGAGTAGTTTTCGATAGTAAACAGCTGTGGATGCGCAATGTTGAAGAAAGATAGAAGAAGGCCAGTAACGCCCTTTATGCATGTAAAAGAATGTGGGAGTCACTTTGGGTTTGTCACCTGCTCTGATGCTGGAATGCCGCAAAAAAGTCCTTATACCTCGGGCCAATGTAGAAGGTTCAGCGCCTAGCGGCACTGTGCATCGCGGGAGCGCTGGGCTCCACTTCGACGGGTGCTCTTTAAAAAACCCTTAGTTTACCGCCATTTGGCCGATTTGCGGAAAATCGTTCTGCGAAATCCGCAGGTAGATTGACGGCCATAGAGAAATTCAATTTTAGAATCTGAACCGCTTAATTGGGCCGGGAAGCACAATCAGCACAGACTTCATGGCACCTAGCTTTAAGTGGAAACGAACTTTTTGCACAACGATTGAGGAGGAGGGATGGCGCAAGGGAATGAAACCTAGCCGTAGATACCTAAACATTTTCACGGACGGCTCTAAAATGGTTACGGTAGTGGTTGCCTGGATTTACTGCCGGGAACTGAACGTCAGGCGGACAGTAAGGCTACCTAACCATTGCAGCATATTTCAAGCAGAGGTTTTCGCAATGAGTATAAGTGCAGAATTAGCTCTCACCGAAACGACAATCAATTCAAAATTAAACCTATTCCAGGCGGCAATTAAGGCAGTTTCCTCATATAGTATTTTATCCATAAACGTCCTTCGCAGCCGGGAAGCCATTGACAACAGATAAACTACATTTGTATACCACTTCAACACTTGTACAATGAAATATACGATAATATGATTAGGCAGTTCAGGGCTAGATGGAATGCAAACTGCAAAAATACATACGAACGATTTTTGTTTTACACCGTCTCATACATGATGGTATTTTGCGTTGCCATATGGCAACACGGGGTCAATTTGCGCTAGCAAACATATCAAAACTTGGTAAAGAGAGGAACAGTTCACATTACGCCCCGTGTTGCCATATGGCAACGGACTTAAAAAACATTTAAGTTATATAGCATGCACGATTGTTTTTTATTGTTACTTGTTACCAATAGAGTCACTAATGTTTTAGCTAATAATTTATCATTGTCATATTTTGCAAATAAAAAAAACGCTTTCTATAAATTCATGCTTACTTCTTCATATATGATATTTTGATCGAAAGACAGCAAGGATCTGATCGAAGCGTATGCGTTTCGAAACATATGCATTTTAGGAATTAGTTAACGTACATATAAGCATTTTGAAGTAAGCGGTTTTTGTTTTACACCCTCTTAAACATGATGTATTTTGCGTTGCCATATGGCAACACGGGGTCAATTTGGGTTAATTGATTTGGCGTGCACGTGTGAGTAACACTCTTTCCTGCCCATATTTCATACAAAAAAATCAGTGCGCATTTTCATTTGACCCTTCATGACATTTATTTATCTATCGATTTTCTTTGTTAGTAGCTAGATTTTATCATACAGCGTGCTGAGTTTGAATTTTTAATTTTTTTGGAGTGATTGTGATTAATAAATTTCTCAGAAACTAGACTATTTTTTGTCAACACCACGCGTTTATGGAATTCTATTCTAGCTGCTACTCGCTGCAGCTTAAACAAGGGCAACTTTAGGAATGTGTTGTTTTCGTACTTTCGTCAATAAGTTTTTGTGCTCTGAGCTTCGCTATCTGCTACATAAGTTTACGTTTTTCTCGTTGTGTTTTTATTTAGGTAATAATGTTAGTTTTAAGTCTTAGGATTAGTTGCATTTTTCTTTTATCTTTATTTTATTCTTAATTCTTTATTTTATTTATTTATTTATTTTTTATTTATTGTTTTTCTTTCGTTGCTTTATGTTTGTGCTTTATAGTTACTGTTGTACTATAAAAGAGCTTTTAGATCCTATTGTACTAATTAACTTCTTTAATAAATTAAAAATGGAATAAACCAGGCCCATCGAAAAGCGATGTGCAATACCGTTTACTTTTCATTTGCTAACTGCGTAAATTACAAAAATTTCGAAAACCACAGGTATATAAATTTACTCGAATTTGAGATGTAGCGCGCAGCTCAACATTGAAATTTTATATTGGCATCCGGTGCACAAAACAAAAATTAAAATTTGTGATCCAGTGAAATCATTGATTTATAGATTTTTACCCCTTTAGAGAAATTCCTGGCATTTTTATCAATTTTGTGTAGGAGTAATAAGAAATAAATTTCTCCCATATGGTTCAGATCCAGAAGGCAAATACGAAAATAAGTCTCTTTTGAGGCAAGGATATGTAACTTCATTATTCCACAGATTAATAATATTTAACTGCAAGTCGTTAAGGTTTATGGTGGAAAAAATCAAATAATGATCTTCTAAGCTCCTTGTGGCACATATTAATGTTTGTACATATCGCCAATCATAACTCACAATTTCGTATGTATCATCAAAAACAAATTCATTCCAAAGGAGAAATTTGCTACGGGTTTGTAGCTTTGTCGCAGATATTGTAAAATATTTTAAGGTTTTCAGGCATTTAATCTGAAAGTTACCAAATGAGATAGGAAGTTACCACATTTTACCAATGTAGCAACCGTGCTCAGAAACAGCTTCCCAAAAAACAATCAGCTTTCAGGCGGCGAATATCTTTACATCCCTAGATCTCTAATATAAATACATATGTATATAGCAGGTGCAGTTAGGGTTGCCAACCATACTATAGTATATAGTATTGTACTATTTTTTGGGTCTGCGTACTATATGTATGTATACTGTTGGAAAAAAATATAATATGCAAAAATATTATATTTCTTCAACTATAAATATAAATATATTTCAGTCATTTGTAAGAAAGAAATGTTTTAAAATGCATGACATTTATACTGAAATATCAATATTAAAATAAATATACTTTAAAACAAAGGGTCCACAGATAAAAAATGGCAACATTTACAAAAATAGTTAGAAAGATTTACCAAATTTACCTAAAATTATTTCGCTTATGCTCTCTATTCCCGCAACTTCAGCATTCACAGAAAGAGTTTTTTCTATTAAGATTTTGAAATGGTGAGATGAGAGAAATAAAGCGAATATCTCACTAATAAAAAATAAACTTTTGATTTATATTAATTTAAATATTGATAGCGATAAAGGATATGATACTTTCAAAGTAATATATTTTTTTATAGGGGAAATGCATAAGAGAGAAAAAAGATGTACACTTAAAAATAATTTTTACTTTTTCTTAAAAAAAAATACTATATATATTTGAAATGTACTATATTTTTGCAGATTTTTTTGAAAAAGTACTATAAATTTCTTAGAAAATGTTGGCAACCCTAGGTGCAGTCTCCTACATACATACATACATACATTCCTACATAAGACCTCAAAACAATTTATTGAAACTTTAGCAAAATTTTAGAACTAATATAACGTTATTTTTTTTTAAAGGTGTCTTGGATGCGTCGCAAAGGTGATGACTTAGCCCTGATAACATTCGGTCGCCATACGTATAGTAGCGATTCGCGGTATTCCTTGGAGTTTGAAGAGCCAAACGACTGGAAGCTTTCGATACAATACACGAATGAACATGACGAAGGGCCGTACGAGTGCCAAGTCTCTTCACATCCGCCTTTAGTATTGTTAGTATATTTAACTGTAATTGGTAAGTTGTAACTAAGAATGTATGCATGTGCATAGAACATGAACGGGTGTACCCCCGACAAAAATTAATTTTAAAAAAATCAAACAAAAAACTCTTTAATCTTCCACGTTTCCATAAATGCACTAAAAAGTAGAATATGTTTCCTTAACTCAAAGAATTTATCTTGATACGTTTTTCGTGTAATAATCCCAACGGTTTTACCCTCTTTTCCCGCCCATCCGCACGAGGGGCGCAGTCCGCATGACGTACGGAACCATTATTTTCAATTTTTGCGCCGAGTCACGAAAAGCAGGAGTTTGTTAAGTGTCGAGATCTAAAACTATTCAACTACGGAACCAAATTCATTAGCTAATTATTATGTATTTATGTTAGTCAATCATTTATTGAGAGAGGATAGTATCGCTTTCTTAATGCTGAAAAGCGAATCAGATATGTATACCCAATAAAAATATGAATTGGAAAATCTACATCTTATTCAAATCTACCACATATTTTTGCCGATTCTACCACACTAAAGTAAAAAGGGGTCTGCACACTGATAACATATGTGTAAGCGCCAGTCTATTATTATTATTATAAAAATGAAAATACTTGGGGTATTCACAATGGTGAATCCCTTAATTGTTTTTCTTAAGCTAAGTAAGTGTACAGTGTACACGGTAGAGAAATTAAGTTTACACCGTAGAGCAACTCTAGGAGATATTCATTCTAGCTAGAGTCAAAACAGAGATCTCAACATTTTTCTATCACGTACTCTACAAGCTGTGTACACGGCAGATAATTATTAGGTTCTTTCCCTAACAATCCCGACCGGATCCGGTAATTAGAGAATAAGCGATAATTAGAGAATTCGCTCTCAAAAATGGAACATAATCCAGAAGTACGGGAACGCAAAAAACCACATTTCGTGCCCAGAATTTGTGAAACAGCTAGTGATGTGCTGAATTTTCGGTATCCAATACTCGGTACCCAATACTTAAAAAAGATTTCGGTGCCCAATACTTCCTTTTCGGTACCCGATACCGATTCTTTACATTAAACCTTCGCCATTATATGCATTTCAAGTTTAGAAAAAACTTTAATTACTAATTTATATGATATCGGCTAAAACACTTGAACTTATCGCAACAGAGAAGTATTATTTTATCAGTTTTAATCTTAGTTGATCCAAGGTTCAAGAAAAATGCTTTTACGGATGAAGAAGCCTTTCAGGGGGGAGATTCTGTAACCAGTTAGCGACAAGTTTCGGATCGATATCGCACTTGTTGACGTAAAAATATTTCATATCATACCGATGCTGATTCGAAAATTGTCGCTAACTGGTTACAGAATCTGCCCCCAGGCCTACAAAAATGATATCGTCAGATTCAGCTGGAACAAAAATGCTTCAAACAAGTAAGAGTTTCTCTGCATTATGGCCTCGAACCGACATATATACATCTTTCATTTGAATCAGTATTAAAAGCTCTATTGGCTCCTACATTCGGATTTTTATAGGCGAGTCCCCCCTGAACCTTTTTTTCCATATTTTTGGCCTATGTGTGCTTTTATTCGAAACATAAATGTTTCGGTACCGAGTATCGAGAATATTGGATACTTTTTAAATCGNGATTCAGCTGGAACAAAAATGCTTCAAACAAGTAAGAGTTTCTCTGTATTATGGCCTCGAACCGACATATATACATCTTTCATTTGAATCAGTATTAAAAGCTCTATTGGCTCCTACATTCGGGTATTGATAGGCGAGTCTCCCCTGAACCGTTTTTTCAATATTTTTGGCCTATGTGCGCTTTTATTCGAAACCTAAATGTTTCGGTACCGAGTAGCGAGAGTACTGGATACTTTTTAAATCGGTACCGAATATCGATCAATACTAAAAAGTATTGACTCAGCACAGCGCTAGAAACAGGCAACATGTAAACACTTACGATCCAATACGTACCAATTTTCGCCNCCCCCTGAACCTTTTTTTCCATATTTTTGGCCTATGTGTGCTTTTATTCGAAACATAAATGTTTCGGTACCGAGTATCGAGAATATTGGATACTTTTTAAATCGGTACCGAATATCGATCAATACTAAAAAGTATTGACTCAGCACATCACTAGAAACAGGCAACATGTAAACACAAATCAGCTGATATGCACTTTGACGCTTTATCCATTTTTACCCGGAGAAAAAGTCCGGGCTGTTTTGGGCAGGAAGAAGAAGACACTTAATCCAATACGTTCCAATTTTCGCTCTCTATTACCCATTTTGTTGAGTACGGGAATGATTTCTGGGCTATTTTGGGCACCCGAGGGATCCCGCGTTGCGTACGGGAAAGAACCTATTATCTCTCGCTTATAGAAAACTAACCTATCTCGAATTGTTGTCAACACTTGTTGTATGTACATATGTATGTATTTAAGAGCCACGATGTAGAAAATAATGGTTGCGCCATCAGCGGACTGCTAACCTTTCGTCGATTTGACATCATTCACCTATTAGCGGACGTCATGAAATACTTTTTCGCACTAGGGATTTACAAGTTGTACTAATTTCCCGATTAAATTTTACCTAAAAGTAGATAAGTGTACCTATAAATTAAACATGTATTTTTATGTGTTTAAATGTTTAATAGTGGGTGGCAACCTCGGTGCGTTTTCGTATTTTTCTCATTGGGAGCAAATGTTAGCTTACCTACTCTCCGAAATTTTGTTACTGGCAAGTTACTGGATAGTTTCTTATTTACTGGAAAATCCGAAGACAGAGCTGCTTTCATAAACTAGTTAAAATCCGATTACTTATCTCAGAAAAATGAACAAATCATTGCTCTATGGATTTTAAAATAATGGTTATTTTATAGAAAAAATGGTACTCGTTTATTCGACCTCTTGCATAGAAATTTGCTTGACTTTTATTTATTTTATAGAAAAAATGGTACTTGTTTATTTGCCCTCTTGCATAGAAATTTGCTTGACTTTTATTTTGTTTTCACTTTCCTAAAAGTTCCTCATGTGGAAATACTCGATGAACGAGACTCAGCCACTCCAGAAAAATATTATAAAGCTGGAAGCACTATCGAATTAAAATGTGTAATTTCCAAAATACCACAGCCATCATCTTATATCACGTGGCGGCACGGTACCCGAATGTTAAACTATGACACTAGTCGAGGAGGAATCAGGTAAGACAACACAATTTATGTGGTCAAAGCAATAATGGCTAAGGCCAGGAGATCGCTATTAGAATAAAAATTACCTTGTCAACTTTATTGTGGCTTATTAACATTTTATTTAATAGTAGCACGATTATGTTTATTAATAAAATTGAAAAAGTAACAAAGTCTAAGCGGTAGAAGTTATAGCTGCTGTTTTGGAGATCACCCCACGTTTTTAATTTTAAATCTCATAAATTGTTTATAATGACTATTCAAGGCACATCAAACAGGTAGTAGCATTAAAGCAAAAACAACATTTGCGTGTATTTTGTTATTGCTTCTGGTATCGAAAACGTCAAAAACTGTTCTGATTTTTTTCCTAAATCACAGCGTGCTATGTGAAACACAAAAAAATAAAAAATAAAAAATTGAATTTGGAAAAAATAAAAATTGTTGCAACTTTCTTTCTTAGTAAATTTGTTTGCTTTTCGAAGCATTGATCCATCCATCCTTTGCCAGGCCCAGCAATCAGCGGTTGTGCTGTTGAGTTGGGCGAACGTTCCAAAAGGTGCTATTCATTCGCTTGTTTTGTATGGAGAAAGGTCTCGCATACAAGCAGATTTTAACAATTTATAATTTTTGTGAGAAAAATTAAAAATGTTTGACTTTTCGAGACCAAATAATTTGAAACAAATCAAATCGGCTTCTCTACTGATACTACTTGTTCAATGTGCCTTGTGACCTTCGTACAGTTCCATAAGTAAAGTAACTCTTCTTACCGTTTTTTCTGGCGGGCTGTAGGTGTGTGTTTGGCAGGCTGTAGGTGTGTTTTTGGTTAGTGTATTGGTGTTTTTGGTTCAGTGTTTTACTTATGAAACTGTACGATGCTTGTGACTATTGTAAAAATTTTAAAATCAAAACTTATCAAGTCAAATTCTGTAAGTCTAGAAAAATTATTTTCTACGTTATAGCCGATTTCACCAGCAGTTTAAACGGAAAATGATTTTTTCTTTTCTGTCAATTTCCATATAAATTTAAAAAAATTTAGATAATTTTTCACTTAAGTTGCTTTCGTGAAATTGGATACATGTACGTAGTAAATTAAAAATTATTTTTTTTTTTGCTTTTGGATGGGTAAAGTAAAGTCGGAATTTGTATGCTCTCACACCCTAGGATTCTTCTATACCGAAGAAAGTATGCCCCTATTTTTTTATTTTCAAATTAGAAAATATTTAGAGGTCGCTCAAAGCGCTAAAAGTTTTCCATGTATTTTATATGGGGGAAAAACAACTTTTCGTAGAAATGGCGTAGAATTCTTAAAAATCAATATTTTTCATAGTAACTATAATTTATAGGTCCGCCAAAAACCTCCAAAAACCCCGAAAAATGCAATGGGGGGGGGGGAGTAAAAAAAATCTTTAGTATTAAAAAATGGTTAAATAAACAATTGGGTCTTACTATTGAAAGTCTCCTGAAGATAATCTGAGTTTTCCGATCGAAAAATATTGGTTTTCAAGAATTCTATGCCCTTTCTACGAAAATTGGTTTTTTTGCTTTGAATGACCTCTAAATATTTTATGATTTAAAAAAAAAAAGGTATACTTTTTTCGATATAGAACAATCCTATAGAGCAATCCTAGCATTTAAATTCTGACTGGGGTTGATTTGAGGTTAGGAGATGATTGTAGAATATGATAAATTAAAATATCTGCGAGCAACTAAATATGCTGTTTGTAGAACTCCGATATGTTATCGAGAACCGAAGATATAGCAGTAGTCTGCTTGGTTAAGACTTAACTAACACGTAATGAGCAACTAAATCAAGAATAGTGTAACGAAGTAGCAACTAAATACCCAATAGGTTAGAGTTGTGTGTGGCCATGATCTGCTAGATTAATACACGTGTGAGAGAGCTACCTCTGTTTAGTTACACTTTAAACGACTCAGGTAGTTCATTCCAAAGTCGCACAGCGTTGACGAAAAACAGTCTGGATGAGGTCAGTGAGGTATGTTTAGGGACAATAAGGTTGTTATGTCGGCGTGACACTGGTCGTATGAGCTTGTCGCAGAGATATTTAGGGGACTTCCACTCGAGTAACTTATACACAAACATACAATTTCTTGCAGCGAGGTAATTGAAAATACTGCAACCCAGGATCGCATTTTTCCATGGAGTGATGTGATCATACTTTCTAATCCCGTAGACATAGGGTGTAACACTATTAAATGCTACCTCAATTTTATGTGGTGCCACCGAGTCTAGCTTGCTATATACGAGCTCGGAGTAAGCTATCAGTGGAACAATGAGCTGTATGGCCAAATTACGTTTAATTTCTATTGGGGTAAATGGCGCAGATATTCTTAAACTGCGTAAGGCTTTCTGCACATTGGTCGTCCAATCATAGTTGCTTCATCGTCACAATCATGATGCAACGATTACATGACGACTACACTTTCGCACACGCGGTCGTGATATTTCAATTCATTTGGCTTCTAAAAATTAACTTTTTCACTAACTTTTCCCCATAAAATGTCTCTGCCGTTCTTTGGGTCCCGGCACCCCGCTGCAATGCAACTCCACATCGAACCCTTGCAAGTTCTCGCGCATTCGGGTATTAAACCACAACCCCCACGATACTGCCCGAAGGGCCGTACCTCACTGAACAGACTGGAGTACTACTCGCCAGCCAGACTTGCTTGGCCAGCTCGAGTCACGCAACCTACTAAACATACCAGAATACACATGCTTAACCCCACAAGTAGTAAGATCTGCTTTTTACTTCCACGCATTCACCAATTTCCACGGTTTACTACAAAATTTACACCGTGTTTTACAACATTTTCAACGTTACTCCATGTATCCAACAGTTTTCAACATTTTTCAACATTTTCTTCCAGCTCGGCTCGCTCCTCTCACAAGACTTACTGATCTCGTTCCACCCCCGGCTATCCCTCCCGGAGTGAAAATCCACTTTAAACCCTTGTTCGAGTCACTTGACTCACCTCGTCCATTCTGCTCGTCTCGCTAACCTCACAGGTCTTACTGGCCATACTTGGGAGCACTTTCCAGCCCGGGTGGACAATAGGCATGGAATTGCTCCTTTCCGGTTTTCTACACCCGCTCGAGTAGCTTGACGAGCCACATCCTTCCTTGCAAATCTTTCCAGCTGTACGATCTTACATGTGCATCTGGGCTGTCTTTTGGCCTTGTTCGTCTCACTGGATTTGCTTATCTAGCCAACGAACACACTCCAGGGGCATCTGTTCGCCCGCGGTACCTTTTTTAAAGTCTTTGGTATGACTTTCGAAAGCCGAAGACTCTTCTTCTGATTGAGCCTCCAACCGACTCAGGATTGGTAGCATTTGACTGGGGTAGCTTGACAAGTACAGTTGGATATCGTCGGCGTATGCATGCACATTCACATAACGACACACAGAAAAAGACCAAACAACAGAGGGCATATGATAGATCCTTGTGGAACACCAGGGGTAATCGCCCTACACTGAGAATAAGCTTTCTCTGCCTTTACTCTTTGAGTTCTTCCTTTTAAATAGCTGGTCATAATTTTCACAGAACTATCAGCAAAGCCATAAAGTTGTCTATGTTTTTCACACAGAAGGTCATGATTTACCATGTCCAAAGCCTTGAAAAAATCTAAAAGGCAAAGAAGAGTTAAGTTTCCTTGGTCAACCTGTGTTCTAATATCATCAAGTACTTTTAGCATAGCTGTGCAGCAACTGTGTTGGGATTTCTGACTGCCAGGGTGATAGGAATTCATTTTTCTGAAGGCAAGATACTTATTGGTCTATAATCGCATGGATCTATTGCAATTGCTTTTTAAGCTACAGGTAGAATAATCGCTCTTTTCCACGCAGAAGGAAACGGAGCACTTGTAAAACAAAAGTTTATGATGTGGGTAAGAGTGCTTATAATATATGGTAAGGTAATTTTTATGAATTTTAACGAGAATCTATCTTCTCCTATGGCGTTTGACTTTATTTTCGTAATAGATTTCAGCACTTCTATTTCACTTACTCCTTCAAACTGGAACTCTTTTTCGAAACAAGATTGATTCCGAGTAGCATCCGTTAACGGAGGGGGTCAAAAGCATTACTGGCATTAACAAAGAAATCGTTTATTATATCAGGATCAATAATACAGTTTGATTTCACTTTCCCATGTACATTACGTTTTTTGATGTTGCAACATAGATCTTTGGATGGAAGCAACGGATTTAATTTAGTGTTGAAGTACAAACGCTTCGCCTTTCTTATGATATCAGTAGCATAAACACTACTCCGGGCTACTTTGTATTGGCACCAATACAAGTCAGTATTATTTCGTCTCCATTTAGCAGGCAGTTTGTTTCGTATTGCAGAGCGGACCTCCTTAGTATACCATGGGCAAGATGAATTTACAGCACGAATAATACGTAGAGAGACATGAAGATAAAACAACGAAATCAAATTATTATTTAAAAAGTGCAGTTTACCATCAACTGTCTGAAGACATCGCACATCATTCCAATTATAAAACAAAGCACTGGTATTTAAAGAGTTTAGATCACGATACATTAAAGATACATTAACTGGTGGATGACTTAAATCCAAATCTACCGAACAGAAAATTAAATCATGATCGGAGATAAACGTCATTTGGTCAAATTTCAAAATATAGGCCAAATTGAAGGTAAGAAAAAGGTCTAGCAGACCAGGGTTAGAATTATTGGAATACCTCGTCGGCATACTATTATTAACTATCTCAAGATCTGCAGCAGAGGCATTGTCGAGGAGTTTCGCTGTGTGTAAGTCATCCAGCAACAGCCCAGCCAGCAAAATCGTCGTAAACAAGCTCGTAATTGGATATTTTCTCGAAGAAAAACCGGATTAAAAATCGTTTATGATAGCCGTTTACGACTCTTTTTCGAGCACTTTTTCGCTTTAAATTGTGCATCGTCTACGAACAGTCGTAAACGGATCGAAAAAGCATTCGTATGCGAATATTTTTACGTCCGTTTTTTAATTGTAAACGAGTCTCGTAAACGATTAATTTACGTTAAAAAAGCGTTTTTCTACACTGCTTTATCTACTGTTTTTGAATGCTAAAAATAAAGGCAATTAATTAATTCAAATTATTGTAGTTCTTTTATTGAATGGAATTATAATTAATAAATATTTA